ATATATATGGGAGCGATCAAATGCAAACCACTTAATTTGTACAAACCGTGCAAACCTCATTCAACCAATCATAATTTTTCATTTTGTTCATTTTTTTTTGTAATTATGATAGGTTGATTAATCATTTTTATTGTGGTGGGTGTTAATCATAGATATTATCATCTTCATTATTTTAATGTTTATAGAATTACATGAAACAGTTTCATTAATTTTAGAGAAATACATGAAACAGTTTCATTAAGTATTATATGAAACAATTTCACAACCATATATGAAACAACTTGATCAAAAAATGTATTATATGAAACAATTTCACAAGATTAAACAATTTCATGAAAAAATTTCATAAGATTAAACAATGAAATCGACGGATGAAGGTAGTTTGCACGGTTTACACAAATGAGGGCGGTTTTTATTTGATCACTCCTCTATATATATATATATACTATATTATAAAGCATTTGATAAAAAAAATTAAAAACCACTTTTTATGCATAAGTACTGTTTATTAATATGTGTTACTTAAAATTCAAGATTACAAGTAGATTGTGCGTAATACAACTTATTAAAGTTTCATATATGAATTCGTGTAACTAACTGCAGATAAACACAATCAAATGCATGATAAACATCTCATTTTAAATATAAAAAATATAAAATATAATTAGGATAATCATTGAATTATAACATAATACTTAATTATTATCTTTATAAAATGTTATATTATTAAACCAAAAATAAATTATGGCATTATTAAACCTAAATTAAATTATAATTTTTTAAAGAAATTACATAAAAAATGAGAACTTTTAAATTGTTGATTTGATATTAACATTGATATATTTTTTTTTTCAAATTTTTACGATATCTTTAAATTTATATTTTATTAAAAAATAAAATCATTATTATTTTCTTAAAAAACTCATAAAATCGTATTATAACATCGACAGAGACAAAGAATAAAATAGAACATTAAAATCGAGATGTATCTCGCTGCATTGCACGAGTACCCTTCTAGTTATTTTATTATGTTATATTTGATATTATTATTTATACAACGTTGTATTTATATAAAGAAAACAAATAATATTGTTCTCGGAGGTCTATAACGTTATAGAAAAATCTATTAAAAATTCTTTAGATACATTCATATAAGATATAATCATCAATCAGATTTTACACAAAAATGGTATAGATGTGACAGAACTAGCAAAATACACTGATTTAAGCATGATCATATGCCAGCAAACCTAACAACTTTTACGATCGAGGGGCCTCACAATAAGTATACAACCTTTACAAGTAACTAAGGCAGACTTGGTCTAAGTGGTACTTGAACTAACACTTCAAACTTTTAAATTTCAGTAACTTGATAATTTAAAATTTTGTCACTTGAAATCTGTAATTTATTCCAGATCTGCAATTTCTACTCTAACATAAAGTTTTTCTTGTTTATCACTCATCTTGCTCCTAAGATAAGGACTCTTTACTCTTGTACAATCAAAAATCCTATTATGACATCAAAGATTTACCTTAAAAGATACATGTGATGTGATATTACAAAATTGGTCCATATTCATTAATGATTAAAAGTAAAATACACCAAATCTTTGATCTCAATATAAATTACCATAAATTAATATCTTTCCTTTTTAAGGGTTTGTATGATCTGTTATAACAAACCACAAGGGTGATACCTGATTGATTTGAACTTGACTCAAAGGTACTAGGAGGTCACAGATTCAAATCCAAAAAGGAATAAAAATCCCTATGTGGCCACGGAGGTTCAAATGCGGTGACTTCGGCCTATCTGCAAAGCAGGTGGTCACTCTGGGATTAGTCAGCTCGTATAACGAGTTGGATATTCAGGTTAATAAAAAAAATCTGTTATAACACAAACAAATACCTCTAGCAACCAGTATTTTTGGCATGTTTCATATTGATTTTAAGTGTTTTGGGATTAAAGACACATAACTGATATGGGCATATGTTTCTTTGTAAATATACTTGAAAAGCAAAAAATAAAATGAGAAAAAAAAAAGTGAAAAAGGTTAAAGTTGAAAATAATTAAAAAAAGTGGGTACCCAATGAAAAAAGAAGAAATAGAGGGGGTGAAAAGGACAGGATGCCAAATGAAAAACATTGGACACCATAATGACTTGCGGTGGGTCTTACCCTAGTCATTATAATTCACCTTCCTATGAAAGGATTGTTGCTCCATTTATAAGAAAACATTTATAAAAAATATTTTTCATGATTAAGGGTTCATTGATAATTGTTGAATGATTTGATGTAAAATGATTAAAAAGCTTTCATGATATAGTGTAAAATATAATATAATTGTTTGTTATTTGTGTACAATGAAATTAGAGCTCTAAATGGTTAAGGGGGATCCATGATACAAAACCATTCAGAGAGTTTTAGAACCATTAAGAGACGGAATTTTTTTTGTCAAACAAGATTCACCTCTTAACAGTTCAGAGGTTGTCTTTTAATGACACTATTAAGAAGTAAACAAACAACCTCTAAAATATTAATTCATTTAAAAGTCTTACGAGCTAAATCAATTTCTATAACGATTCATTGATTTATTATTTATACTACCTTATAAACCAGATTTATCAAAAGTTTTAAAAACAATTTTTAATGCACAACGTACTACATATTTATGCATAAAGTCTTAAAAGTCTTAAAAACAACTCATAATGCATTAAGTACTACTACTTTATGCATTCAATTTTAAAATATCTTAATATACAATTAAAATAACATATAGTACAAGTTACCAATGCACATTATTATCTAATCTTTTCATGTTCCCAAGATATTTTTAACACATTTCACTCATATCTTCACCCTCTTATACCTTTATGTCTTCTCCCCATTTGCCAATGTGAGATTCAAACTGATATTCACCATGAGTTATTAAAAGTTCTCTCATTTATCTCCCATTCAATTGGTCTAAAACTCTTGATCTCGTTCTCGATCTCTTGATTCTTTGTTATCGGTATAAATCGAACACATTTGTAGAGTCGTTTAAATATGTTGGATTTTAAATATATTGAATTTTAAACTGACATACAATTTTTTTCATCGATAAACTGTAATTGGAATCATAACTCTTATTTATTCAAATTGTATTAATATGTGAAGACCAAATATAACTTATATCATCGTTAAATATTCTCTAATAAAACCAATGAAACTTTAAAATCGTTAAAATTCATGACTTCCACCATATTGAACGGATACACAACTAGTCGTGATTTTAAAAATACCAGTTTTTCACCATGATTTTTGAGTAACTTGTACCAAATACCAACTAAGACTTTTTGGTAATAATAGTGGTTATGGAATTTTTCATTATTTTTAATTTTCTGTTGGATCAGCAAAATAAATAAATAAATATTTGGATCGTCACTGTAAAAAACTCCGATGCCTTTCTGTGATGAGTAGCTTTTCTTTACTTTTCAAAGTTGTTGCAAGACTTCTTTCCCGTTTACCTTCCCATCCATCCATCCATTCATCCAACAGTGAATCATGCCAATTCCCATTTCACTCGGTAATCCCTTCTTAACTCCCCTCCTTTTTTCAAATTCTCTCTCTCATCCGCCATGGAACCACTCTCCGACATTGAACAAGTGCTCCACTTCTTCAGGAAAAACGGGCTTTCAGACGCTGAATCTGCACTCATGGATGATATCTTTGAGAAATCCCAACTGGGTTCTTTTGATTTCCAGAGGTTTCTCTTCCCTATCCTTCCTCAAACTCTTCACTCGCTCAAAATTCCGGCTGCTCGTCTTATTTCACCTCCGCCGTCTCCGCCGAGACAGATGACGGAGGAGGTTGAAGGTTCTTCAGATGATGAATTCGTCAGCTTGGGTTCTTCTACTACCGATTTGTGCTCCTCAGGTACTCCCCATTTTTCTGATTTTTTTTAAAATCGATTGGTAATTTAAGGGCTTCCTTATGTGATGATCATCACTGCAAACTGTTTCTTCAATCGATTAATTCACTGATTTGGGGAAGTGTTGATAGTTTCTTTGTTTTTATGTGGATGCAATTTCATTGAATTCAGTAATTTTAGTTTGGATTGGGACCACAATCGTCTTGTCTCTTTGTGGCTTTTTCATTTAAATTCATTGTTCCCCCCTATGCAAATGCCATCAACATCAATATCAATATATTCTTTAGGGGATTTGTGTTGGATATTGAGCATGAATCGGATCGTAAACCCATCTCCAGGGAAATTGCTAAACTACGAAAATTCGGTTTGTTAGCTTCTTTCTCGGAAACCATTATTGTCTGTGAGATATTATTGATCTGAACACCTCTGGGCATGGTGGTTTCTCTTTTGGTTCTTTAGGGTGCGATCGTATGCCGGATAGTATAGGAAACTGGTAAATTACTAAACTACCCATGTCAAATTAAAACTCTAATACCTTCAACAATTTTTCACCTGCCTACCTCACTCTCGCCCATCCAATGCAGTCCTGTCTAGTCCCGTTCAAGTACCAAATGCTCCCTCAACATCCTCAAATGAGTCGGTATGATTCATGAAGAAGCTGCTTACTGACTCTAATCTGCCATCATTGGCAATCACTACCAAAATAGATCCAGTGAAGGGGAAAGCTTATGTAGTTTTCTGATTTAGCTGCAAACTTCTTGATTTTGTGGTCAAACAAGTCTTGTAAGATCCAAGATTGATAAGGGTGTCCTTTTAAATGACATGAAGAGTACTACCAATAATGAAGTTTTCAGTTTCAATTTTCAAGACAAAGAACCAATCAAACAAATCAATTGGCTTCGATAAATGATTTGTTTGGCTGCAGGAGATATAATGTATTTTAGTTTTGAATTCAAGGTATGTTCTTGGAGGTCAGGTCTATGTACATCTCACCACCAGAACCCACCCCACCTTCAGGTGGGATATACTGGGCTTGTTTTGTTTGGTTTGGTATGTTCTTGTAGAAATTCCATTAGTTTTGCATTGGAAAAAACAAGCTTAAAACATTGGTGGTTATGGTTTGTGCAGAATTCACAAATCCATATGGAATAAGGACTACAAGAGGGGTTAGTTCTCAAGCTTCGTCAGATAGGTTGTCCCAATTTGGTACGGCTCGTGATTACCATGAGTTTGATCTGCAAAATGACCTAAACTGGTACAGAGAGAGAGATGAAGACTACGCTATGCCACCTTCCTTTGACAACTCGGATCCCTTTAGTGGTCCAACCGAGGACAAATTTGTCATGACAGCAGAAAAAGAAAACCAAGATGAGAACCGCCAACCATTTTTTGATCCTATATTAGACCCTTTTGAACAAACCATCTATCTGGATAAACCATGGCCTCTGACTTCTATTGGGTATGTAAAAGATGGTGTTAAAGTCACTGATTATTATGATTTAGACGGGAAGTGCGTTGAGCAGGACCTAAATGGTGCCACCATGTATAGCTCTTTAAAAGGAATTGAGTTGAAAGATTCTCAAGAAAATAACACAGGGTGTAAATCAGATGTATGTAGTTCCTGTCTCAAAGAAAATAAAAGAAGTTGCGATTGTAATCTTGTTGGGGGATCTAAGAATACCCATGAATCTCAAATTCAGGAGGGTCAGAAAGATGTCGATTTTAATGTGAATAGTGATTCTGAGGATGGCTACAAAAGAAATCTTGATGAAGATCGTGAGCATGCTGCTGAACTCAAAGGAGGTGATGCGGATGCCACAAATGATGAGCTTTTGATGTATGCAAATGAAGATGAATATGAAGTATTTGAGTTAAGAATTATACACAGGAAAAACCGGTTAGTAAAACAAATTAAGGATGGGTATCGGGTAACAGTCTCTTTTTAGTTTGTGTTTGTGAATAAGTGAATAACGTGCTTTTATGGTATATGTAGGACGGGTTTTGAAGAGAATAAGGATCTACCCATTGTTTTGAACAGTGTGATCGGCTCCCGATACTGTGTTACAGAGTATCTTGGTTCAGCTGCGTTCAGTAAAGTTGTTCAGGCACATGATCTCCAGATGGGAACTGATGTTTGTTTGAAGATCATAAAGAACGATAAAGATTTCTTTGACCAAAGTTTAGATGAAATCAAGCTTTTGAAGTTTGTAAACAAGTATGATCCGGCAGATGAGCGCCACATTTTACGCCTTTATGATTATTTCTATTTTCAGGTGAGAATTTGATACTCCCTCCATCCCAACAAGTGTCTACATTTCTATTTTAGTTTGTCCCAAAATAAGCGGCCACTTTCAGAAGGGCCTATTTTCTAATTCTACCCTTAGTAATGAGATGGAGAAATTCACAACTCCATCTATTATGAAGGGTAAAATTGTCATTTAGTTAATTAAAAATTGTTAATAGTTACACATGTCTAAAACCGTGTGCCTTTATATGATGGACGTTTATTTTGGGATGGAGGGAGTAGCGTTTTGGCACAACATAATTCTTTATTCATTGACTTTTCTTATTGGATTCTTGAAAAATTCACAGGAACATCTTATAATCGTGTGCGAACTTTTACGTGCGAATTTATATGAGTATCAGAAATACAACAAAGAATGTGGCGGGGAGCCTTATTTTACATTGAACAGGCTTCAGGTTCGGTAAATTAGTACTCCCTCTGCCTCAAAATAAGTGTCCGCATTTTTATTTTAGTTTGTCCCAAAATAAGTGACCGCCTTCAGAAGTAATTGTTTACTTTCCAATTCTACCCTTAATTGTGAGATGGAGTTCATTCCTCCCTCTAGTATTAAGGGTAAAAGTGTCATTAGAAAGTGTAATAATTACACATTTCTAAAACTGGGTGCCTATTTTATTGTGGACATTTATTTTGGGACGGAGATTATTGTGACCTTCAGATAGTTTGTTGAATTCCAAAATTTTGAAATCAGGTGATAACAAAGCAATGTTTGGAAGCATTAGAGTACTTACATGAGTTGGGTATAATTCATTGTGATTTGAAGCCCGAGAATATTCTTATCAAAAGCTATAGCAGATGCGAGATCAAGATTATCGATCTTGGAAGCAGCTGCTTTCAAAACGACAACTTGTCGCTATACGTGCAATCTCGATCTTATAGAGCTCCTGAAGTCATCATCGGACTTCCATATGACCAAAAGATTGACCTTTGGTCTCTTGGTTGCATCTTAGCCGAGCTATATTCGGGTGATGTATGTTCTTTATCCGCTTTTTTTAAGTATATAATATTTATATATGTTCTTTATCAATTTTAGAAATATGTAAATGTTACACGTTTTAATTAACTAAATGACAATTTTACTCTTAATAATAGAGGGAGTACTGAATTTCTCCATCTCATGATTAAGGGTAGAATTGGAAAGTAGGCCTTTTTCAGAGTCAAAGGAGGAGATGTGGTAATTAACTTGATTATATTACCTTTATGCCCTTTCTTGTTCAATCCTTATTCATGTTGTTTGATGTGTGTGCTACCTCTAACTCTTCTACTTGCTCTTCTTTTAACTCTTCATAACATCGTTTCTTGTTTTTTAAGATTCCGAATTTTTATTTTTGCAAAACCGTTTTCGCAAAAAGATTTTCTTTTTGCAAACAAGGGTCTTCACGGAAACAGCCCGAGAAACGGTCTGCGTACATTTTACTCTCCTTAGACCTTATTCCTGTGGGATTTGCTAGGCTCATTCGATTTTTTGTTATTTTTATACTTTTGTGTCGTGCCAGGTTCTATTTCCGAATGATGCAGTTGTGATTTTACTTGCTCGAGTGATTGGAATGCTCGGTCCAATTGATACCGAGATGTTGGAGAGTGGCCAAGAAACGGACAAGTATTTCACGAAAGATTTTGATCTTTATCACATAAATGAGGTTTGTCTATTGCAGAATGCTCTAAAATAGAAACTGTCTCAATTTTCATGGGACAGAAAGAATATATACATATCTAGATCACTACAACTATCATTGACTTCCTGTTAAGGTCAACATTGTCGATCAATGGCAAGATCGACAAGGGGCAAAAGAGTAAAAGGCAAAACGAAACATATTTTTACACGAAAAGCACGTGAATTGTTTTGATTTATGGCGTCGAGCTCATGTGATATGGCTCATTTTAATGTACACAGGAAACAGATAAACTGGAATACATAATCCCACAAGAAACATCACTGGAAGAACACCTTCAAACATCTGATCCATTATTTCTTGATTTTGTGAGGAATTTGCTCGAGATTAATCCCCAGAAAAGGCCAACGGCTAGTGAAGCCTTGCAACACCCATGGCTCTCTTCACCTGTCCGTCGCCAGCGCCAGGCAAGCAAATTTAAATCTTGATCCATGACCGTTGATTCACTTTAGGTTCACCTGGCTGGCAGACTGCACCAATGTGGTTCATGTAATCTTGACCCTCCCGGTCAGCCAGCTTGGTCCACACCCCGGTGAGCCACATGGGTAGTCACGGTTAAGGTTCACCTAGCAGCCTGGACCGATATGGTTTGTGTAAATCTTGATCGAAGTTGGCATCAGCACATTGATGGTCACGTGTTTATTTAATTATCGACTCAAAATTTAGTATCTTTTTTGGGGGTGAGGTGAAGATGCATTTTGATTTGATTCTGTTTGTAATTCCTTGAGTCCCATATGTACACATTTCAAAGTTTTGACATACATGTATACAAGCTTCTCTATTTCAAAATTGCACTATTTATGGTAATTCCAATCTTTTTCTAGGTCCTGTTATATTTGTACAAAAAATTGACAAAAATTAAGAGGCTGTTTGGCAGTTACTGGATTGTTTGGTGCAGAATGATTAAGTGACTCTCATAATATAGTGCAAAATGAATTATGTTGTATTCGTAAGAATGAGGTGACAAAAGACATTAAGGTTCTAAACAACATGAGGTGTGGCGTTGCAGTGAGGTCAAATCTCAAGCCTTAGAAGTCACGACGAGCTGTCGGGTTGTTATCAAGCTAGCTAGATATAAGAAGGTCAACCCTTATATCGCGTTTATAAGACATGATTTAAGCAAATCTCTATATCATATATAAAATTATATACATAAACGTATGTTTTCTACTATTACTCGATAAATCAATGATACTAAGCAATTTTAATTAAGTTATACATTAAAAACTAATAAATAAGACATTAAAAAGATAAGCAAAATCAAATATCATGTAATAAAAATCATGCATTACACCGGGGCATGCCTTAGACATAACGTGGTGTGAGACACAAGCCTTAAGTCATGACGTGCCATGATGGCTGTTCATTACCACTTATTTTGCAAAGTACAAGGTTTTTTATGATAATTTTTTTACAACTATAATCAAAGTTTGATAAAAAAAAATTATAGAATTTATTTGAGGTATTTATTAAATTTTGTTCATAGTTAACTATTAAATTTTGTTCATCCCTCTTATCGGGTAAGATTTTTGGCCCTTGCCATGTTCATCCAGTGAGAAAAATTACCCGGTAAGTACTTACCGGGTAAACGTCTCCTAACTAGGTTCGGATTTTCATTTACTTTATATATTAGATTTATCCCGTTTTTCGATACTTTGCATTTTAATCATTTCATCTTCGTTATTTTAAACATTAATCAATAATAATATTTCAAATAAATTAGATTTATTTTGAGTTTCTTTTTCTTAAAGTAATAAATAGTTTTATATTTAAACATTTAATGAACCACTTTAATGACGTACATTAACTTTGGTCAATGCACATTTACACCTCCCTCTCACTTTTGTCGACTCCATTGTTTACGGCCGATTTGATTGGGCGCGTCCATCGAGTTATATATCTCCTTTTCTCGTTTTGACCACAAAACTTTTTTCATTTTTACAATTTAACCACCATTCTTTTAATTGTTACATATTTTATTACAATAAATGTAATAATTTTTATTTTGAATTATTATAAAATAAAATGCAACACCTTTACTTTATTTGCTTTAGAATTTTAATTTATTCACATGTCTTATACAAATACAAAAAGATTCTTTATACTTTTAAGAAGTAGATCTATCAAGCATTATTGGATCACATCTTAAAACATCACATGCATATGTAGGATGTGTACTTGTTCTATTTTACAACACACCCATTTTAATTATTTTATCTGTTTTATAAAAAGTATCTGGATCTATACTATTTTATATACCAGATTTATCAAAAGTTTTAAAAATAATTTTTGATACATAAAGTACTATATGTTTATGTACAAAGTCTTAAAAACAACTCATAATGTATTAAGTACTACTACTTTATGCATTCAGTCTTAAAATCTCTTAATCTACAATTAGAATAACATATATATACAAGTTATCAATGCACATTATTACTTTTTCTTTTTATGTTCCCAAGATACTTTTGACACTTTTCACTCATGCATTCACTCTCTCATACCTCTATGTCTTCTCCACATCGCCCAAAGTGAGATTCTAAATGATATTTACCATGGGTTATTAAAAGTTTTCTCATTCATTTACTCTAGAACTCTCGGTTTCACTATCGATATCTTGATTCTTTGCTCTTGGTGTAAATCAAACACATTTATGGAGTCGTTTAAATATGTTAGATTTTAAATATATTATATTTTTAACTGTCATACAATTTTTTTCATCGATTGACTGTAATTGGAATCATAACTCTTATTTATTCAAATTGTATTAATATGTGAAGACCAAGTGTAATTTATATCATCGTTAAATCTTCTATAATAAAACCAGTGAAACTTCAAAATCGTTAAAATTCACGGCTCCCACCGCATTGCGCAGATACACAACTAGTTTTACTTTGAAATAAGTGCTTATTTTCAAAAACAGATGTATAATTTTTAATTTTATCTTTAATTATAACATGAATAAATTATTTCTTTATCTGTTAATAAAAGTAAAATTACTATTTCGTTTCATAAAAAATGTATCAATTATTTATTTTTAAAACTGTGTGTCTTTTTTATTGTGAACATTTATTTTAAAACATAAAAAATAATTGGACTGTTTTCCTTAGAGGCTTAGACCATATATTATTTTATGTCTATTCTCTTTAATATGTTAAATTCTCTAAAGAATATTAAATCCAGCTGTAAAAAATTCTCTATTTTAATTTTTTGATATTAATTATATTATTAAAGTATTCAATAATTTTATCATCATAATACGCTTTAAAAAAACTTTAGGTGGAATAATAACAATTTAAAAATCTGTTGAAATGCTTTGAGATCGTTTACAATAGATTCCTTAAAACCTTATTCAAAATAAAGAAAAAAAGAGAGAAAAAGTGAAATTCTTTAAATTTGAAGAACTCTGAAAAAAACGATTAGCTATAAAATGATCTTTAAATTTGATCTCATATCCACCCATAAATTGCGCTTTAAAAAAAATTGATTTGGTACATCTCGATGCAGTTTATTTGTGTTGACATTCAATTAGGATTGATCCAAGTATGAAGATCTCTTATTATGTTTTTCAACCGAATCCAACACTTCCTTCAAAATGGAGACAACATTGTAGATGAATATAAAAAACTACAAATGTCGTGTCTGATTGGTTTGAGTTTGAGCTCCAAAGGTCAAAAGTGTCTAGAGGTCCCAAGTTCGAATCCAAGAAGGAATAAAAAAAATCTCTTGTAGCCACAGAGATTCAAATACAGTGACTCCGGGCTTCCACAAAATGGATGGTCGTCCTGGAATTAGTCAGTTCGCATAGCGGGTTGGATATCCAGGTTAATAAAAAAATTTATTTTTTAAAATAGACTTTAGGGTGCGTTTGGTGCGCAGACAGGACAGGACAGGACAGGGTAGGACAGGACAGGACAGGACAGGACAGGAGAGGAGTTCAGCGTTTGGTAAGACAGGACAGGACAGGACAGAACTGGTTAAAATGACCAATTTACCCCCAATGAGCAATCAGAAACAACAAACATGAATAAAAAACAACAAACATGAATAAAAACAGCAAACAAAATCAGAAACATGAATCAAAACAACAAACATGAATCAAAAACAGCAAACATGAATCAAAAACAGCAAACATGAATCAAAAACAACAAACATGAATCAAAAACAGCAAACATGAATCAAAAACAACAAACATGAATCAAAAACAGTAGCAAACAAAATCAGAAACATGAATCAAAAACCAGCAAACAAAATGAATCAGGTGCTGTTTTAGCAGATATGAACAACTACAAGATGCATCAGATTTCATCAAACCCAGCTCACGAATTCAAGAAAACAGCGAATACAGTCATCAATTAGTTGAAATTGCAAGAAACCCACTTGATGAAATCTAGAACGAAAGCTTATGTTGCAAATTCAAAAATACCTAGAATGGAAATACGTAGCCTTCATAAACCTATAATTAACAATCTCAGAAAACCCAAACCAGTCCTTTGCACCATTGTACTCGAGAAGAGAAGGCGATAATGCGTACCTGAGTATGGAGAGAAGAGAAGAACAGTCGGTCGCCGTCGATTGGAACTCGCCGTCGAGATGAGATGGTCGCCGTCGATTGGAACTCGCCGGCAAGCAACAGTCGGTCGCCATCGATGGGGTTGAAAACCTAGGGCTTTTTTTGACAGATTGAAGCTAGAGGAATAACGAGAAGACCTGACGGGAGGAAGGGGAACGATTGTGAAGGGGAACGATTGTGAAGGGGAACGATTGACAGATTGTGGAGGCGACGTTGTGAAGGAGAACGATTGGGAACGATGATGAAGGTTTTGAGAGGGTAGGAAGGTAAATTATTTMTTGTTCCAGTTAGTTCCATGGGGGAAGGGTGGACTAACTTGTCCCACGCGTGTTCCACCTTGTTCCACTTAGTCCCACATAAAACCACACCAAACATGGGACAAATGTGTTCTGTCCTGTTCTGTTCCACCTTGTTCTGCCTACCAAACGCACCCTTAGGGACTTTGATCGGGCAAAAGTTGAAATATAAAATTAATGCAAACGGCGAAACCTGTAGTAGCCTCTCCCATTCCCCACCTTCACGGCAACGTCGGAAAATTCCCACTCCTCCCCACCAACGCGTGGCTCATACTCTCCCCTTCTTCAAGAGGCGCCACCCCTTCGTCTTCCATACTCACCAATCATCAGCTTCAACCTAACTGTTTCTGTTTGTTTGTGTCTGTGTGCGTATTCTGCCGGTGCCGGCGATGGTGGAGCTTGGTCAAGCAGATACTGAAGTATACGCGCCAAAGAGGACCTTACAAGTATGGCGTACACTGTTGAACTGGTTGGCTTTCTTTTTTCAGATCTTCGTTCAGATCATTAAAGCCACTCCTTCTTTGATAAATTATTCTTCCTCGCCGTCTTTTGAGCCTTTGCCCGTCGTTGAATTGTCTGAATCTCCCCAACCTCCGACACCTTACGCCGCCTCTACCGTCCATATTCCGCCAGCCGGTGCTGATTTTGATCGTTCGCAGAAGCTCACGGTACGTTTGAATTTTGATTTAATGTATTGTTTTTGTTTCCTTGATTTGGTTTTCATGTGGGAAAAACTAGGTTTAGAGAATTGTACTACCACCATGATTATTCCGTTCATATGTGTTGTTGCTTTGAGCTGATGATTAACTATTAGGCGTTTGTATTCATTTCTGTGACGCATACGTTTTCTAGAAACACAAAATTTACTAGATTATGCTACTGCAATAAGAGAGACTTTCTACCTCTGTTTGGAGTCGGAATCAACTGTTTTCCATTGGTTGTAAGTTTCCGTCAAAGATTGCGTACAGGAACCAACTGTCAAAGGATTGTAGCGTGAGGCAGGTTGTTCTTCAACAACGAATTGCTAAAAATAGTTAGCAGTGAATAATAGTGAACATGATAAGCCTAACGTATATGGTATAATTGTTGATACTGAGAAGTGAGAATGAAGAACAGTTCAAGGAAAATTGTAAATATAATTGATTTTCTGGGCAGTATTAACCGAAGTGCACAACCATAAATGATTTTCCTTTCCTTTCTGAATTGCAATCTATATAGCATTTGCCTTTCTTTATTTTGTATAATCAACTATCCGGTTGCTTTGTTTAAATGTTCAAAGAATGTTCTGTTGTCTATTTCAAAATCAAAAAGAATTTTAATGTATTGACGCCATCCACATTATAAAGAAAGCATGAAAAATTTGATCCTTGAAATATTACTATCCAAGACAAAGTCTTTATCTGAAATTGGTGTGGACTGAAATGATACATCTAGAAATTCATAATACTGGACCATCACTGAAAGAGATTCTTTTTGAATGATTTAATATATCAATAAGATAACCTAAGTTAATTGAATCAAAACAGGAGCCAGAATGGTTAGATTTAGTAAGCAAGGACGAATGTTGTTTGTGGTGTTGTGTTTAGATTGATCTAACACATTTAGATGGATAAGCCCAAGGGGTTGGTTTAGGTTCGATTTTTGGGGTCTGATATCTCATGAAGCATTAGGTCTTAATTTGTTAGGAGGCCTAAGGTTTGTCTTGGCCATATGGAAGGGTTGTTTGCATGGACATCATGGACTAATTGGTCAAGGTGTCAGGTACCATGGTTACAAAAAAATTGATCAAGATGGATACATTTACAATTTCAATCCCTAGTTGTCAATTTGTGAATCAAGTGGAGAACCACCATACAAGTCTCATGAATATTGAATTGAATGCGATTCAACTTCTTCTAGAACATTTTATATAACATGTATTAGCCACCTTCTTACTTCATGATAAATATACCCATCTCACTAGAAGAGGTGCAGAAAGTAGTCACAAGCTTTGTCGGATAAACATGTCCAAGGTTCGCCTCACTTTGATTGCTCAGTGATGATGGCTACTTTGCTAGAGCACATTGATGGTTTTGTTTTATATGTCAGTCCAATAATAACGTATGTGGTATAGGTGATTTTTGTCTAGTTGAATCCTACTTCACTATAGAGGGCTGGAAATTTTAATATTCAAGTGTGGTATAGAGATTCTTCTGTTTAACTAGTCTATGTTTTATAGAATGGCAAAGGAGGTAAAAGAAAGCCCAACACTGCTCACTGACCTCGTAAACTTTATTCTGAACCTGGTCCTTTGAGGGATCCCAAAATCCTTAAGTCGTAAATACCACCTAGCTCTGCCTGTGCTTTTTCATGTGAATCATCTTTTTTACAAGCATATGATGCTTTGAATAATATGTTGTACATCTGTGTGTTGCTGGATGAGAAGCTGATAACAAAGGAAAATCGGCAAACTGGGTGCATATCAAAATGGTAGGCTTTTCACTGAGATTGCTATTTTACTCTTGCAACTGACAAGTGCAGAATAGGCTTATATCAAACACCTTACATCCGCATTAGTGCCATGTTGAATGAGTAAGTGTAGGAATTTGTATTGTTATTTCGTGATGGTTATTGCTCGTCTGTTTTGTAGCCATGTAAAGCTCGGTTAATCAACAAGATTTTTAACTCTAATATGCACCTATGGCTGCAGGTGGTTCTTGACTTGGATGAAACTCTGGTATGTGCCTATGAGACTTCTAGTTTGCCTGCCATTGTTCGTAATCAAGCCATAGAAGCTGGACTGAAGTGGTTTGAGCTAGAATGCGTATCTTCGGACAAGGTGACGATGTTTATGTTCATCATTTATCAATGTTCTTTGTTATATATATATATATATATATATATATATATATATATATTGTAAAGTAACTAATTAAACATAATATCTGAACTTCTGATTTAAAGGAATGCGAAGGCAAACCCAAAATCAATTATGTGACGGTATTTGAACGTCCTGGATTACATGAGTTTCTAACCCAGCTCAGTAAATTTGCTGATCTTGTGCTGTTTACTGCAGGCCTTGAAGGTTTGCTCACTGCTTTTCTTTTTTCTTGATTTTATCTGCTGTTGAACTCTTTGTTAATTATTTTTTCAGTTGCTGTACACCATTGCAGGTTATGCTAAACCACTTGTTGACAGAATAGATGCTGAAAACAGGTTTAATCGTAGACTTTATCGGCCTTCAACAAGTTCCACGTAAGTGGTTCTGCTCGCCACAACTTATTTATATTCCTTAGGACTTCCAAGCTTCCATGTTTCTATTTCTGGCCATAGTTGCAGAAAGACCTTGAAGGCATCATAAAAATGATTTATATGAGGTTCTCTATATTAATTCTCTATTTAAGTAAGGTGCTTCATAGGCTGTAAGCATAAGAATAAAGAATGAAATCTGGTTGTGTCCCCAAGAATTTCATCCTAGAGTGACCGTTTATTGTATTATATGTAAGTTGTGTGATCCCTTGCTGGACGGTACCTGAACCTGTACACAACACATCTTCCTTGATGGTGTAACCGTCCTCAGCTGCTAAAGACCCAAGTTGTCATTTGTCAAGGTGGCAAACATACTTGGTGCGTTGTTTTTTATGTTGATCTTTCTTTTCTTAGACTGATATTGTCTTCTAGCAAGCTTCTCCTGATGGTAACTCTAATTACAAACCAAACCAACCCAACCCAGTAAATCCCACACAAAGGTTGGGCCTTTTGGGAGGGGGGATGTACAAACACCTTTCCGAAGAGAGGTTGTTTCCATGATGATCACAACTTGCAAAACGAAAAAAGAAACAAGAGAGCAAGCTACGGGCGTGTGTGCAAACAAGGAACAGTAACATAAAAGGCAGCAAGGGACATGATGAAATTAGGTGAAAACAAAGAAGGAAACATGAAGTGCAGTATCGACAAGTAGATACAATAGTAGTAGACTAGTAGACATGAAAAATTGGAAACATTAGCACAACCCTCTCTCTAACGTATGCCTCTAGTAACTCTAATTGTGAACCTCTATTTGTTTATAATTTATCCTAACAAGAAAAGTATGCATTGGAACACATTACTTTAGGTGAGTATTTTAGCTATTCATTTTAATTTAATTTTCCATTTGTTATTTTATTCACCGTGAAACAGAAAGCAGACTTAATGAGAGTTATTGACATCACATGTCCTTTTTTAATCCCATATACAAGGCAATAAGCTGATTTATTTGCAGCCCCCTATGCTTCTGATGCTTTATCTACTAGGACTTCATTAGCAATCTTCCCTATAAACCTTTAGAATCCAACATTGGAAAAAAGTGTGGTTCTTAAGTTCAGGTTCAGGATTAATATTTAGTCACTGAAAATCAGGTCTCAAATGATTTCCCTTCGGACTTCTGGCAGAAACTTTTTATGGACACACACGCTCTCTCTCTCTCTCTCTCTCTTTATATATATATATATATATATATATATATATATATCATTGTACAAGATTACTGCCACGTATTGCAGCTCAACCACACATAATGTTACATCTCAATTGATGCATTTGGCTGGGCTGTAATGCATAGTCCAGTCTTACAGAAAGCTTTGATGTGATACCTCGCTACATTGGTACCCAATATTTCTTTTATCAGGTTAAAGACCCGAGGGTTTCCATCATAAGTTTTGTAAACTTGAACATGAAACATGAAATTGTCGTATATAATTCATGCATTTTGAAAAATGGACCAACAGATCCCTTGCTTAAATCGGCACACAAGTCCTTATAGAGACTACTAAGAATTATTGAAGATTCATGTTCAGGGACTTAAGTCCTCTTTTGTTTACCCACTTCCTTTCCTTTCATGTTTCAGGATTTTGAGTTTGCATATGAATACACGAGATAATTACTTTTTTTTATTAACCTGGATATCCAACCCGCTATGCGAGCCGACTAATCCTAGGGTGACCATCTGCTTTGCGGGTATCCCCCGGAGTCACCGCATTTGAACCTCCATGGCCACAAGGGGATTTTAATTCCTCCTTGGACTTGAACCTGGGACCTCTAGGCACTTTTGACCTTTGGAGCCCAAGCTCAAACCAATCGGGCACCACCCTTGTGGTTTGAGATAATTACTTATATTGTCTATGCAAATGCTTTCTCTAAATAGAAGAACGAGGTATAAGTATTTTAGCTTAGCTATCATCATTTTGACCTTGTAATACATTGGCAATGTCCATTTCGGTACACACCCACATGCAATTACTGGAGTGACTGTTTTAACACCTTTCGTATTTCTTAATCTTTTTTTCCGTCTTCTTCTGCCGCTTAAAAAAGTTTTCATGTACATTTTCCGTGGTAATAAAGACCTACCTCTCAAGGTCATGGGTTCTAACCTTCCTACATGTAGTTGCAACATTGTTACGACAATATACAGTTCACTTCTAGATCTAATTGTATATGATTAATACAATTTGACTGCAGTGTTGTAAATGTTGATTTATGGCACCATCTGTACATGTTAATTAATAGCATTTCCAATTCTTGTAGCCACCAATCCATAGACAGTGATAAGACTATATCTTTTTAACTCAGGGAATTTAGGGAACATGTGAAGGACCTTTCCTGTATATCAACAAACTTTTGCAGAATTGTCATTGTTGACAACAATCCGTTCAGTTTCTTGTTGCAACCAGTCAATGGAATCCCTTGCATACCTTTTTCTGCTGGACAACCACATGATGACCAGGTAACCGGAACAATATCTTTTGAAAGTATATAATATTTATATGCGGCAAATACTTATGCACACTCCTCACCTTTGATGAGGTTTGAACCCTTGATGAGTCTAGGTTTTGCCAGTAACCCAGAAACTGCAGGGCCAATGTCTCTTTGGTACTCAAAATAATTTTTTGAAAACCTACATGCCATCAATATCATGAATTCAATAATGCTCCTGTGTGAACAGCAAGTCAAACAGCTCATTCATATTTTTTCGTCTGTAGGTCCAGGTTCAAATGAAAAACCGTAAATATTCTAAAAACATGAGAATTCATGATGAATGTCGTGATAGATACTTATGATGAATGTCATGATAGATACCCATGATGAAAATGCGGATGATATTTATGATAAATAATCTTTTTTTTTCTTAACCTGGATATCCAAGCCGTTATGCCAGCCGATTAATCCCAGGGCGATCACTTGCTTTGTGGGTAGCCCGGAGTCACCTCATTTGAACCTCCATGGCCACAAGAGGATTTTTATTTCTCCTTGGATTTGAATCTAGGACCTCCAAGCACTTTTGACCTTTGGAGCCAAGCTTAAACCAATCAGTCACCAACCTTGTGGTTTTGATGAATAATATTCATGATTAGTAGTCGGGGTTATTCATCACATGAAATAGTTGGTTCTCATGTTCTTAAAATATTCATGGTTCTCATTTGAACTTTCCCCTTTGTTTGTTTGTATCATTGTATGTATACATATAAAAATGATCAATGTACTTGTATTTTTGGTTTTTGCTCATTTACTCATAACGGTCATTATGTATCCTGATGACCAGCTTCTTGAGGTCCTCCTTCCGCTTTTGAAGCAACTTTCCGAGCAGGGTGATGTAAGGCCGGTGCTGTATGAAAAGTTCCACATGCCCGAATGGTTTGATAAACACGGAATCCCTACTTCTGGGTGGGCAACACATGGATAAAGTTAACATTTGTACAGAGTAGAAGCTTTTTGTTCTTAAATTTGAGGCAATCTTCACCGTCAACTGAAGATGGTGATATTTTGGATTTCACATTTTGTATAGTTATCAAGTTGTACGTACCTCAACTTCAATCAGGAAATTCTTTAGTTAATCCCCTTGGCTTAATAGGGTTTTTGACCTCATTTCTTCTTGTAATTTGGTATATACAGCTTTGCTAAATCGAGTCACTCGTTATTATCTCCATTTCCATGTTTTAGATCAATAAATATTTCATGTATCAACCATAAGGGTGGTGCCTGAATGGTTTGTGCTTGGCTCGAAAGGTCAAAAATACCAGGAGGTCCCAGGTTCAAATCCAAGGAGGAATAAAAATCCCCTTATGGCCATGGAGGTTCAAATGCGGTGACTCCATACTATTTGCAAAGCAGGTGGTCTCCCTGGGATTAGTCGGCTCGCATAGTGGGTTGGATATCCAGGTTAATAAAAAAAAATTATTTCATGTATCTCATCTGATTGGTTTTTGTGCAGTAACTGCTGATAGGTTTGCTTTCTTTATTATGTGTCACAGGTAAAAAGGGTAGATCATGTTGAAGGTGAATCACAGTGAGTCAGTAGCAATGTGTCACAGGTATTGGTGACTTCAAACTGTTTTCATTGTGGATCCAATTTTCTTTAGCGAAAAATTGCCAAATGATATCATAAGCAATTACTTGATATGATCCATCCCGTATTTGTTGGGTGTAAACGAACACGAACGGAGGCTTGCTAGTGTTCGTTTGTTAGACTTAACCGAACGAACAAACCACCACGAACGGAATTTTTTGTGTTCATGTTCGTTCGTTAAGAAAATATGTTTGTTCTTGTTCTTTTGTGTTTGTAAACAAGCATAAACGAACCAACATGAATATACTAAAAGCAATCACTATTATTCATCATTTCGTTCCTAAAGATAACATAACAGAATTAAAAATTGGGTAAATTGGAGAGAAATATTTCTAAAAATTTAATTTAATCAACTATTTCACATTAATATCACAGGTTCAGTGGAAAACCGTAAAAAAATGAAAAAAATTGAATGCCCTGGTGATTTATTTGGATGGTATGTACATGTGCATACAAGTAATTTATAAACAATATGTTTGGTATGTACACATGCATAAAAACCAAGAAACACTTCAATTACTTGTATGCATATGTGTATGTCGTTTAGATGAATGGTTACGGTGGTCCTCAGTTTTTCATTTTTAGAAAAAATGTGTTCATGTTCGTTTATTTATTAAATAATTACTGTCAAATGGTTTGTTGAACGTCGGTTTGTTTACAGCACTACGTATTTGTCTTGACGTGTTTTGGAATCATACTCGTTTCATACGAAATGTGACATGGTAATAATGTTAAATACTTTCATTAGGGGTGTTCGCTTGTTACAGTTTAGAGTAAAAAACCAAGTATGGTTTTAGCATTTTTCCAACCTCAACCAAAGTAGAGTGGCATGGCCAAACATCATCCCATAAACGAATCAACTTACCATTACCCAACCAAAGTCTAGCGACTTCTCCAATTCTGCATCTGTCGTATTCGGGAGAGCTTGCTTCGTGGTAGAGCATTTAGCAACGCTAACAGCCTGGTGAGGGCTTTAACAGCGTAAACCCTAACGACGGCCAAGAAAAAAGTCTTTCTCTTCCGGGTCGTGCATGCTCAAAACGTAAAAAATAATTATTTTTTCTAACTTACAAAACAAAAAAAAAGCAAGATACTATGGAGATCATCGAGTCATAAAAAAAATGTTTCAAGTGAACAGAATGACTCAATACATAAAAAATTGTCTCGTACACTTCACAAATTAAATTCATTAATGCCAAATCCAACAAAAATAACACCAATAAATGCGTAGCCAAATTCATACTTCTATCAAGGATATCAGTATCTATTTTTCATCCTACAGTATCATTGTTGTAATATCTTTTTTTTATATAATAATTAGTCGTCAATCTTTCCAGCTAAATTATAAAATATTCTTCCAGTTTTCCTGTAAATATCTTGTATAAATTGGTTGTTAATAAAATTTCAATAAGACTTTCAACCCATTATAGACTATTAGGAACCCTTTTTGACATTGGGTCAAGATTAGGTTAGAACACAACATATACTCTCTTAAGCAAGAATTATTTTATCTGGAAAATAAATTTAAAAGTCGAAGATACTTTTGTATCCATTATGTTACTCATGTTGCTTGATTGCCGACAAGTGAATCAATAAATACGTTGTTACAATGAAAATAAACACAACGACTAAAACAACAGTGAATATAATGTTATTTACTCAATAAGCAATCGGTCTTGTGTTTATATGTTGTTATTGTTGATCACATCAATTTTTGGTAAAAAAGAAAACGTTTTATCTGCTTCAAATACGACTGGTAATGATTAATGACCAGATGACAACTTTGAATTTGATCAAATACTCTGTTAAGCATATAATTATAATAAAAACACTATTTAAATCCCTTAGAAATCTTATTATATCTTTTAGATATATATATATATATATATATATATTAATTTTAAGTAATTCAAATTTCTTTATCAAATTTTTTTTTCTAAACACACTTTTGATAAAAAAAATCACAATTTTTTTATATCAAATATCACAATCAATTCATTATCATTTTTACTATTTTTTTTTTCTATTCTTTAGATTCACATTTGGAATCACATGTGATTAGTTTCATTTAGTATATGATCTATTATGCATCACATATATAATCAAGCTGTTACAGATTTATCTTTGTAAAGAAACCATTTATTAAGGATTACTAGAAACCAATTTGGAGAATAAAATCATTCCTGATTTGTTAGGGATTTCGTTACAATAATGCTAGCCTTTTTAATTTAATTTAATAATTATTTATTTAATCTACTTATTAAATAAGGTATATCATACATTCTTTCTAACATCTACATCTATACTATATTATAAATCATTTGATAAAAACTCTTAAAAACTATTATTTATGCATGAAGTACCGTATATTGATGCATATTACTTAAAATTCAAGATTACAAGTAAATCATGCACAAGTACAACTTATTAAAGCTTCATATTTGAATTCGTGTAACTAACTGCGGATAAACATAATCAAATAAAGAATAAACATCTCATTTTCAAATATAATAAATTTAAAATATAATTAGGATAATTATCAAATTCTAACAAATTAATTAATTATCATCATTATAAGCAAATTATGTATACTATATTATAAAACATTTAACAAAAACTCTTAAAAAATCATTTTTTATGCACAAGTACAACTTATTAATGTACTGTTTATTGATGCATATTACTTAAAATTCAAAATTACAAGTGATTTTGCGTAAGTACAACTTATTAAAGCTTCATTTTTAAATTCGTGTAACTAACTGCAGATAAACATAATCAAATACATGATAAACATCTATTTGTTACACCAAAAATTATATTATTAAACCAAAACTAAATTACCTTTGTTATTAGACTTAAATTAAATTATAATAAAAAATTGAATTAAAGAACTTACACCAAAAAAACGAGAACTATTAAATAGTTAATTAAATACTAATATCGATTTTATTTTTTTCAACTTTTTATGCTATCTTCAAATTTATATTTCATTCAAAAATAAAAACATTATCGTTTTCTCAAAACCACATAAAATCGTATTATATTGATAGAGACAAAGAATAAAAACTAAACATTAAAATGAAGATTTATCTCGCTGTATTGCGTGAGTACTCTTCTAGTTATATTATAAAGCATTTGACAAAAACTCTTAAAAACCATTTTTTATGCATTAAGTATTGTTTATTGATGTATATTACTTAAAATCCAAGATTACAGGTAAATTATGCGTAAGTACAACTTATTAAAGTTTCATGTTTGAACTCGTGTAACTAACCGCAGATAAACATAATCAAATACAAGTTAAACATTTTATTTTAAATATAAAAAAACTAAAATATAATTAGGAAAATCAATGAGTTCTTACAGAATACTGAATTATTATCCTTATAAAAAATATATTATTAAATCAAAAATAAATTATTTCGTTATTTAATCTCAATTAAATTGTAATAAAGAAGTTAAATTAACGAAATTACAAAAAAAAAAACAAGAACTTTGAAATAGTTAATTTGAGATATATATTTTCAAATTTTTATTATATCTTCAAATTTATATTTTATTTAAAAATAAAAATTATCTCTTTCTCAAAACCACATAAAAACTGTATTATAATATCTACAAATACGGAACAAAATAAAACACTAAAATCGAGATATATCTCACTGCATTGCACGAGTATTCTTCTAATTCTTACAAATTAATTTGTTTTCACAAGATTATATATATATATATATATATAAATAAAAGATATAATTTTTTATTGTGTAAATTCAGTTGTGGTTTTTTTAATATTCTTATAAGGTGATTTTAGCAAGATTCTTTAATGAATAAAACCATAAAACGGATCAATTTTTTGGGATTAATGCATATAAATAGTTTATAGTTAAAATACAAACCTCGAGGTCAGATGGCACAAAATGCCATCTCAATTTTGGATATAAAATTGTTTAGAGAATGATTAAAATATAGATTTAAAATAATAAATAAATAAAATAAAATCAGAAAGTATCCAAAGAATTTTATTTTTAGCCATAAGCATTTCCATAAGTTGATACATTATTGGATTAAATTTATAACTTTCTATTTCTGAAACCGTAGAATTTTAATACGATCTGTAATCATTTGAAATATAGCGGAAAATAATTCTAGATCACGATAAAGAAAGCGTTTCAGATCTTTAAAACCCAAGCCGTATTCAGTCACATATTTAAGATAAAATTCTAAACACATCATAGAAGGGGTTAGAGTTGTATTTTTCATATCTGGCGGAGATTTTGACGTAGCATTTAGAAACCAACGTAGATTTCCTCTATGGCAAATCACATGTGAACATGTTTTATAGGAGTTGGATTCACGTGAGACCAATGGCTTTTCGTGAGACTCGTAACGTAAAACCAATTTATGTTCATTGATCATCTTTGGTAATGGTCTAAAGTTGTACGATGACAATTTTATAATTACTGAGAAATCTAGTGGTGTTTATGAATGTTCAGATTGTCATATTGTAGATTTAATCCAAGGTTTGAGAATTGGTCTTACGGGTCTCACGAAAAAACTTTGGTCTCACATGATCCCAAGTCTGTGTTTATAGCCTCCATAGATTGCTAGTCAAAAACCCTAGATTAATGTGTATTACATAAAAGAAAACCGTAGTCAAAAACCCTAAAAGATTCAATCACTTAGAATTGATATCCTACCACCTGATTTATATGATCTGAATTATAGATGAACTATAATTCAAAATAATGATTTATAATTATATGTAACATTTATATAATTATTTAGACTTTAATATAATTATATATACATTTACAGACAATACCTATAATTATCATAATTACATTTTGACACAGATTTTCATAATTATCCTACAACAATAATTATTTTAAACGTGTTCTTTGTTTTTAAGTAAATAGATTTACATACTTTTTAACAGTAGTCATGTATGACACATATGTGGCGCATAAACATATAATAAGTTACAGAAATCCTAATAACTTTATAATTTGTCGATTTAAAAAAATAAAATAAAAGGATAAATAAATTATTAACAAGTTGATGATTTAACAGCTCTAATTTTAAAATATATTTCAATAATGTAAATAGAGGGCAGTTGGAAAGAAACAGAATCTCATATCAATGATTCTTTTAAAATTGACACATTTAACTTTATATCAACGTAAATTACATACAATAAGACAAGTGAGTTATATATATATATATATATATATATATATATATATATATATATATTATTGATTAAATGTTCTTTTTTTCTTTTACAACTAATTTCATTTCATAAACAACAAAAATATGCATCGATGTATATCTCTGATGTGTAACTCAGTTGGTAAAAATATGGATGACGGTGTTCAAATACAAAACACGTTTTGATTAACCTGGATATCCAATCCGTTATGCGAGCCGACTAATCCTAAGACGACCACCTGCTTTGTAGATATCCCGAATTCACTGCATTTGAACCTCCGTGACCACAAGGGGATTTTTATTCCTCATTAAATTTAAACATGAGACCTTCAGATACTTTTGACCTTTATGAGTAAATTGCAACAATATGTAACATGGTTTTTTGAGTTTCTATTTTTCCACTTTCAAATAAATAATTTTAAGAATATATTTTGATTTATGTAAAGTTATAATTATAACATGTTTTCTACAAAGTTATATGCACTAATAATTTGTTAATAAATCTATACAATTTAAAAGACCATAAATCGTTAAAAAACAGATTTAAAAATGCATGTGTTCGCCATATTACGATCCGTTTATTTTATATATTAGTTGTTTTTTTACAGATGAATTCAAATATTTAGCATGCCCTACTACTTTATACTTCACGATTATAAAAATTATCCATGTTTTCGTATTATTTTGTCGTTTTTTTACATAATTTGTTTTTTTCTATTTACATATTTTATGTTTGAGAATAATTAGGTTTCTTTCCATGTTATAAAGGAAAAAAAAAGGCAATTATGAAATGGTAACATGATATGTTTTTTGGAAATTTACCAAATATCTATTCTTTTAGGGTTGATTTCATCTTATAGTTATTTTCTCTCCAAGTTTATCAAAATAACTATAGGTTTGTAAAAACCCATGTTTATAATTGTGGATCTAGCTAAAAGACATAAATTACACTTTCTATCATTGTTTATAAAAAAGTTACATTTTTTACCCATGTCTGCAAAAAAAATTACGTTTTTCAACTAGATCTGCAAAAAAATTGCATTTTTCACCTAAATCTGCAAAATAAAATAAAATAAAATTGTAGACCTAAAGATATTTTAATAAATCTTATAAAAAACTGACTAAAAGATGAAATAAATCGATAAAAATAACTATTTTAATTAAGTGAAAAAGTAATGTACTAAAACTTGATTCTGATTTGTTTTAGGTAACGTACTTTCAAAACTTTCATTTTGATACCTAAGATGTAAAGTTTTAAACATTTAACTACCAGAGTAACCGGTTGAAGTATTAACCGGTTATCATGCTAAGTGACGGGTGATGTGGCATTCAACTTGGTATTATTTGCTGACGTGGTTAGTGACATGGATTTTTGGATCTAAAATTAGTCTTCAACTGGTTATCCGGGTACTTAAATATTTAAAACTTTACATCTTAGGTACCAAAATGAAAATTTTGAAATTACGTTACCCAAAATAAAAATCAAGTTAAAGTACGTTATTTTTTCATACAATTTGTCATTTAATTAATTTCTCTAAATCTCTCTCTCTCTCTCTCTCTATATATATATATATATATATATATTAAAGGAAGAACCAAGAGTATTGAGATGACATAATGAGAATTGAGTATTGAGGTGTTGGTGAATTGTGGTTGAGTTTGAGATATCCCACATTGGTGAGATGTTGAAAGATTAGAATAAGAAGGTATGTATAAGAAAGAAAGTTGAGATTAATTGTGTCAACTCATGAGGTTGAGTTTGAGATATCTCGCATTGGTAAAAGATTGAAAGATTGGAACAAGGAGGTGTGTATAAGAAAGAACGATAACCACAAGGGTGATACCTGATTGGTTTGAACTTGGTTCCAAAGGTCAAAAGTACTAGGAGGTCGCAGGTTCAAATCCAAGGAGGAATAAAAATCCTCTTGTGGCCACGGATGTTCAAATGCGGTGACTCTGGGCTATCTGCAAAGCAGGTGGTCGCCTTGGGATTAGTCGGCTTGCATAACGGGTTGGATATCCAGGTTAATAAAAAAAAAGAATGATGAGATTAATTGTGTCAACTCATGAAACTTGACTCATAAGGTTATCTTACTTGGATGACCCTATTTTTACAAAACAAATCTTATTATATAAAAATAAAAATGAATTATGTTTACAATCATCAAAATACATATATATATATATATATATATATATATATATATTAAAAGAAGAACCAAAAGTATTGAGGTGACATCATGAAAATTGAATATTAATGTGTTGGTGAATTGTAGTTGAGTTTGAGATATCTCTCATTGGTGAGAGATTGAAAGATTGAAATAAGGAGGTGTATATAAGAAAGAATATTAAGATTAATTATGTCAACTCATTAAAATTGAATTTGAGATATCCCATATTGGTGAAAGATTAACCTGTTCTTTGGATAATCATCTTTTCAAAAAAAAATATATATATACCAAAACTAATGTAAAAAATAATATAAAGTTAACGATAAATCTACACTATAAAATTAGTAGAAGTTATAGTTGTAAAAACAATATTTATATATCTATACTCTATATTTTTTATATATTTATCCATGTAAAAGCAATAATCTAGTAACAACTTCTAAGCATTATAAATAATTTCTTTCTCACATTATTGTTTGCATCTCACATTGAATCAAAGAATGAAAGAGACATGTGGAATATGGATACAAAATTAAAAATGATCAATTTTTTTTTCAATATTGTTTGCATCTCGCATTGGATGATGGAAAGAAAGTGGCAAGAGGGAGATTGATACAAACAGAAATGACTAAAAATGGAACAAACATATTTTTCTTGAATCTTTGACCTCTTTGTTTAAGATCAAATATAATACATGTTTTTAGTTTATAGATCTGTCATGAATCTTAATTTTTTTTTTGTTTAAATCAAATATATTATATGTTCTCAGTTTGATATCTAATATATGATTTTTCAATTTACTTGATATTTTATTTTTTATGTGAGAATGCCCATTATACTATTTGGTGATTTAGTTATTTATCTGTCATCTTGGTGTTACTACTATCAAAGCTTGACACTCTAATTTACAATTCAAATATTATATAATGTTACAGTAAATTGTAGTATTTGTTTTTATCAGTTTAATATCTGATATGTGGGTCATCGACCCCACTTGATATTAATTTTATTGTTTTATGGGGGAAACATCCATTATTTTAGTTTGGTGATGTAGTTTTTCATGCATCGTCTTGAGTTTTCACTACTGTTGTTATAGTTTACGCACCGTTCAAATTTTTACTAATATTATAAAATGTTTTTTTTCGTAACTTCAACTAGGATTTCAATTAAATTTGTTATAAAAATTAAAATCGTGACTGTCACCTTAGATGAGATCTCAATTAAAATTGTGATTTCAAGTTAAACAAACTATTAACATTTGTCAAACATTTGTATAATACTATGCAACACCATTTATATTATTGTTGCAAATGCAACACTACTTTTTATATAAAACGTAGATGGATGATGATTTAGGGAATGTTGATGTTGGTTATAAATTATTTCTCGTTTCATCTACAAAAGTATCGGTCAAACTTGCCACCTAGCATTTAAGTAAAGGTCTGTACACGTGTCATTTATTTATAAGCTAGACGCCACTTTCTTAAGTAACAGCAGGTTCCACTAGCATAACCCACCCCTATACAATCGACTACCCCAACAGTTTTCCTACGCTTCAAAGATTCCTCGTCTCTTTCTCTCTCTATAATTTTCCGGTCATTTTACCGATGAAAAACATCACCGCCGGCGAATCTCCTAACATTAGATGACGACACTCTTCGCCGCAATCATTTTTGTTGCGGCACTTATATCCTCGGTCATTTCATCGGTCAATGCGCTCAGCGGCTCCGCCACCACCGTCTCTGTCAGTTACGGCGCGAGCCCCACCGTCTGCGGTGTCGTCGCTGGTCAACCGAGTCAACGAATCCAATGTTGGCGTAACGGAGGAGTTTTTGATGTCTTCTCGAACATCTCCTTTGAGTCTATCACCGGCGGTCGTGATGTATTCTGCGGCGTTAGGTCCGGCGGATCCACGCTCGTCTGTTGGAACTCTACCTTAATTCCAAAACGTATTTACTACAACGAAACGGTACTCTTGCGGCATTTAACCATAGGAGACTCTCAAATTTGTGCGATTACGAATAGTAGTAATGGAAACGTTTATTGTTGGAGGAGCAATGACGCGTTTCCATCTCAAAATAGTCAATTCCGATCGATTTCGTCGGGATTAGGGTTCACTTGCGGTGTCACGTTAAACGACACCAGCGGGATAATCTGTTTTGGAACGAATTCAGTAACGGCGGGAGCTATTCAAGGTAATTTTACGAATTCAAGCTTGTTAACTATCGCCGTCGGTGGTAATCATGCCTGTGGAGTAAACTCTACTGGTTTTTTGATTTGTAGAGGTAATAACGAATATGGACAAAGTAATGTACCAGATCATTCGCCATTTGAATTTTCTGCACTCGCGCTTGGTGCGAATCATACTTGTGCTTTGCGAAGATTAAATAATTCTGTAGTCTGTTGGGGTGGTAGAGGAGGGGATATGGATAACTACACAGCTAGTGTATCATTTGAAACTATTGTTGCTGGGTTGGATTTTACGTGTGGATTGACAACTAATAATTTCTCTGTAATCTGTTGGGGAGAAGGATGGCTTAGAAATATGTCGAATCCGTTAGGTTATGAGCTTCCATTGAAAAGAATTCTTCCAGGTCCTTGTGTTCGATCCAATTGCAATTGTGGCATATATCCCCAGTCGCAATCGCTTTGTTCTGGGTTTGGATCCATATGTAGGCCTTGTGACATAACTACTTTGTCTCCACCACTTCCACCACCACCACCACCACCAATGCCGCCTGGAGGTAGTAATGTACCTAGGTCTTCGCGCTCAAGAGGGTTGACAAGGGGTTTATTGGCATTTGCCATTGTTGGATCAGTAGGGGTTGTTGCCGGTATTTGTACCATAATTTATTGTTTGTGGACTGGTGTTTGTTTTGGCAACAAGAAGATACACAACTCTGTTCAACCCACAATCACCGGCTCTAATAACAATGCTGCTCAACATTCAATCGGCAGTCCAGTTTCAAGGTCATCTACTATTAGACGACAACTGTCAAGAGGTTTCAGGCGACAAAGAAGCGGGACTTCTTCAAAACAAGCAGAAAAAGAAGAGGAATTCACGTTTGCTGATCTTGCTCTAGCCACAAACCACTTTTCTCTAGAGAATAAGATTGGTGCAGGGAGTTTTGGCATTGTGTACAAAGGCAAGCTGATAGATGGTCGGGAGGTTGCCATTAAGAGAGGGGAGACGAGTGACAAAACCAAGAAATTTCAAGAGAAGGAAAGCGCGTTTAACTCTGAATTGGCATTCTTGTCTAGGCTTCATCACAAACACTTGGTCAGGCTCGTTGGTTATTGCCATGAAAGGGAAGAGAGGCTTTTAGTTTATGATTACATGAAAAATGGAGCTCTCTATGATCATTTACACGACAAGAAGAACGTGGAGAAGAGTAGCAGCTTATTGAATTCTTGGAAGATGAGGATTAAGATTTCTTTAGATGCTGCTTGGGGTATAGAATACCTTCACAACTATGCAGTTCCTCCCATAATACACAGAGACATCAAATCATCCAACATTCTCCTGGACGCCAATTGGGTCGCAAGGGTTTCTGATTTTGGGTTATCACTAATGGGTCCTGTGTCTGATCGTGAGTACAGACCAACAAAAGCAGCCGGGACGGTTGGCTACATTGATCCAGAATACTATGGACTCAATGTGCTAACTGCCAAGAGTGATGTCTATGGTCTTGGAGTCGTGCTACTTGAGCTTTTAACCGGAAGGAGAGCAATATTCAAGAGTACAGAAATTAACGCGGGTGCACCAATTAGCTTGGTGGACTACGCGGTACCTATAATCATGGCGGGAGAATTAGGGAAGATATTGGATAAGAGGGTGGGACCGCCGGAGGTGAATGAGGCGGAGGCAGTGGAGCTGATGGCATACACTGCCTTACATTGTGTGAACACAGAGGGTAGAAATAGACCAAGCATGACTGACATTGTGGCTAATTTGGAGAGAGCTTTGGCACTATGCAGCGACAGCCATGGCAGCATCTCTAGTGGTATGTCAATACCTTCCGATTGAATTAGTTTCTATATATTTTATTCCCTTGAATTCTTAATTATGGGTTTGATTTTTTTTTGAATATTTTGGGGGGGGGGGGGGTTGATAGAGGTGGGTATATCTGTAAAGACTGTAGATTTGCAAATGTCATTCTTTGAACCAAATCAAACCAATAAATGAAAATGGTTATTTGTTGCATTGGGATGTGGGTGTTGTTCCTTTTAGAAACGAGGGGAAGTGGTCCAGTTTATGGATTGAATTCCTTCCATTTTGGAGGCAGAGAATACGAAAATTGACCAATGGAAATGGTGTGGTTTATGACTTCTGACCCCTTCTTCACGAATATTAAGAGGTCAATTGGAAGTGTTTGACGGGAATCCAATTTTTTTTATCTAAAAATACATAACACGTTATCTTGTTCACATACATCCTCTTATACTAATTTATTTGGCACACTGTTATGACATCAACATTAATTAGTGCTTTTTACATTTTCTTGACTGATTTAGGTCCGTTTACCAAAAGCTTATCTGGGTAAGTGTTTATTAAATTATTATTTTTTACCGGATAAATATAATAAGGATTAAAAATTTTATCCGGTAAGAGAGAAGACAAGAATCGAGAGTCTTATCCGATAAGCGAGGGCGACCACTCTTACTATGGTTGGCGCTTAGCGGGATAAATTGTTGCATACGATGCCTTTTAGTGAATAAAATCTTATCCGGTAAGTAAGCCATAGTGTTGAATTTTACCGGTAAATGCTGGTCGGATAAGTGTTTAGCTAAACGGCCCCTTAGACGCATATGGATGTGTATTTAGCAACACTCTATTGAGACAGTATAAATATAATTAGCATTTTAAAGTTTTACAAAGCAATATTCCAAAATAAATATAATTAGCCTTTTTAAGTTTTAAATTGATTAAAATAATATATAATTTATACTTTATAGTTAGTTAATGAGTTTACTTTATGTACCCTACTTTTTTATTTTTCATTTTACATTTTTATTATATTAACGTATGTAATCATATATTGACTAAAATACATAAAAAATGTTTTTTTTATAAGTTACACCATTATAATCGTTCCGTCAATGACTTTAACATAAGTCTAATATTGAATATTATTTAATTTAATTTTATATTATTAAATATCATAAATACGTACAAATTGTTTTTAAAACTTACATTTTCAACCCTTATGATTATTTATTTAGTCTCTAATTATAATGTATGAAATGTAATTATTAAAAATGATTTGTAAATTTTATAATATTTAATAATATAAGATTAAATTCAAAATATCCATTGGGCTCATTTTTGAATCTATTAACGAGACGATTATAATGATGTAATTTGTAAGAAAGAAAACATATTTTTTATATATTTTAATTAATATACGATTATCTGTGTTAATATAATAATATGTATAATGAAAAATGAAAAATTAAAGGATATAATGTAACACCCTAAGATTACATTTGCATATAACCATGTATTTTATATATCAAGAAATACAAATTTACACATTCGGTCTCAAATATACAAAAACTATATTACAAAATAGTTAACAACTTTTTTCCAGAAAATCTCGATACAACATATGAATACATATCAAGTATTCAAATACAAAAGAAGATTATACTAGCTCAATAATCCATGCAAGCATAATATAACACCTCATAATGAGATGCTTCTTATTAACCTCTGATTGTGTCCGACCTGTAATGTACATTTTTTAAACACAAAATGAGGATTAGACCTTGAGGTCTAGTGAGAAATCTCTTTGATGCAATTACAGGGTGAATAATCACTAAATCACATTTTTGAACTCATATTTGTAAAATAACAAATATACATCTATTTGATATAGCAAACTTCATTTATCGCATCAAGATAATCAAATTATTTAATAAACACATTTTGAGTCAATTTGTCGCATGATATAGGTCCTCGCATGACAAAATAAGATAATCTCATTTTTCCTGGCAACACACTGGTGCGAGGTCCACAACTTATCGCATCAGATTAACACTGTAAATCCAACCTTGTCGCACCATTAACATGCGATAAACCAATTTGTCGCATATCAATGATGCGATAAAACTCACTTCTAGCATCATAGGAATACGATAACCACACTTCATCCCATCATACATATGCGATAACTCTAAGTTATCGTATCACACAGATGCGACAACTCTAAGTTATCGTTTCATAAGGATGCGATAATTTTGAACACTTGATCAAAACCCAATTTTTTATAATCCGATGATTATGCGGCCCTTATCTTGGTATACACCTCTCCTTGATAAATTTAAACTCATCTGGAGATGAATAGCAACAATTTTCCAAGTAAAAATCACAGAATCAACTTCTTCCATACAGTTATGTTTGCTCGCATCAAAGAACACATACACCCACACACAAGATCTTCTTATCGCCTTATTAACTCAATTAATCAACCAAATAAAAATGTAAGATTGATAAAATATTTTTAAACACATCATCAAATTAACCCCCTCAACTTTCCACTATTTTAGAAAACAACCCTGAACTTTATAACCAATAAACCCGGTTATCACAATATAAAGTAAATTATATAACTAATTATAAAGGTGTAAAGTGTAAAAATAGTTTATGCAGATATGAAACTTTACCTATATAATTAACCATTTATTAATTAATTGTCTAATTTACTTTATATCATTTACTTTTTCATTTTTTATTTTACACTTTTGTTATATTAACACATATAACCCTATCTTAACCAAAAATACATGAAAAAATACATTATTTTACAAATTACACCATTATAATCGTCTCGTCAACATGTTCAAAATTATTCCAATATTGAATATTTTTGGATTTGATTTTATATTATCAAAAATCATAAAAACGTACGAATTAGTTTTAAAACTTACCTTTTATTTAATGTATTTTTTACACTTTATTATATTAACACACATAATTTATAACTATAAGGATATAAAATATAAGTAATGAAAATAATTCGTAAGCTTTATAATATTTAATAATATAAGATTAAATCCAAAAATATTCAATATTGGACTTATTTTGAACGAATTGATAAGACGATTATAATGGTGTAGTTTGTAGAAAAAGAAACATTTTTTTTTCCATGTATTTTAGTTAATATACGTTTATATATGTTAATATAATAAACATGTAAAATAAAAAATAAAAAAGTATGAGATATAAAGTAAATTAAATAACTAATTATAAGAGTGTAAAATGTAATTTCTTTTTTATCAAATTAAAAACTTTACGCAAAAACCATCATTCTGAGTAAAGTTTAACTGTAAACTTTGGATATTTGGAGAAAAAAGTTCCTAAAATGGCTAAAAAATGAAATCAATTTTGTGAAATGGTTATTTGTGTAAATTTCTCTTACAATTGCATGTATGATCACTATATTTATATTTTTTTCAAAAGAAACCAAACCGGCTCGGCCCGGCCCCCGCCGGACCGGATTCAAGACTGGCCAAGGATGCCTGGCCCGGGACCGTTAAGGACTGGTTATAGGACCGAAATCTACGACCGGTTATGGATTTGGAGCGATTCATGGGACTAGGACCGGTTTATGGACCTGCCCGGCCCAGCCCCGCCCCAAAATTCAAGCAAAGTAGCTGTTATGTAGACGTTTTTTTTGGATTTTTTGCCTTCTAAACACTATAAATATGTGTCTTGGTTGAGGGCTTTACATACCAAGTTCTCAATTCGCAAAAAACGCAAAAAAAAACGTTCACAATTCTCGGTTTATCACTATCCATTTCTTGTTTCCACTTCACAATTCTCATTTTTTTCTCTCTTTGTCTTACAAAATGGCCGGTGAACAACATAATGCATCAAACGAACAAGTTGCCCAAGTTCTCACCGAGCACGGACAAAAGTCCGAGATTTGGAATTCATACAACTTGGTGGTCCTCACGAATGTGAAAAGAAAAACACAATGCAAAATGTGTCAAGCGCTCCTTATTGCGGAAAAAAAAATCTACTTTAAGACGGCACACCGAAAGAACGTGTCAGGGGTTGAGGTCAGGGGCAATTCAAGACGACTGATACTTGACACTCAAGGTCAAATATGGTCGTATGATGCCGAGTTGAACCGACAAATGACAACACAATGTGTCATTCAAGTCGGGTTGCCTTTCGGACATTTTGACAACCCTCACGTTATGAAGTTGATCCAAAAAACACTACAACCACGATACAAGTCGGAAAAAGTTAATGATTAATTTAATGAACGAGGTTTTAAATGAATCAAGTAAAAAAAGTCGATTTGATAACGATTTGGGTGAACTAAATATGTATGTGCATACAACTTCATGGCCGCATGCCCCACAAATGATGTCGAAAATTTTGAAACAATTGATCTATTAGATTTTTGGAAACAAAAACAACCTCAATTCCCGGTTTTGGCATGTATAACATGTGATATACTAACAATCCAAGCTAGTACCGTAGCTTCCGAATCCACTTTTTCTCTTAGTGACAGGATCATTTCAATACGTCGTACAAGACTAAGCCTGAAGTCTGCAGAGTGTTGCATCTGTTTGAAGGATTATTTGGATAGTGTTGATAGAATTCAACACTTCAACACACGACATCATTAGAGATGAAGATTGAAGCGGTGGAAGAAAATTTGGAACAAAATGAAATCGCTATGGGACTAAGCACGCCGCCAATATGGCGACGATGAGGAACTCGACATTGATGATCTTGATGACCAAGAGGCTATTAGAAGAATTCAAGACCCCAGAACTCTTCAAATCAATCTGACATGAGATACCGATGACGATTGATGAATACGTGTTTTTTCAAATAATTTTATAATGTATTTTTGTAAGATAATGTAATTTTAATTATAATAAAATGCATTTTTAAAGTGTATTTGGGTGACCAGTTATAAATTTTATAATGTATTAAGAATATATATCACTAAAAAAAATTAAAAAATATATATATATAGCTTAACCGGGCTCACTTTTCTCGACCAGGACTGGTTATGGTCAGATCTATTGAGGCCCGGGAGCGGTAAGGACTTGCCTTGCCCGACTCAGGACCGGTTTTTGGCCATTAACTCCTACAAGTTTCTCAAAATTGCTAGCCATATATCCCATATAGGTGAAAGAAAAAAGAGTACCAGATAGCTCGTAGAGCGCCTAGTCGTTCCAGTGTACTCGCGTTAAGGGAATAAGGGGGCAAAATGGAATTAAGGCGTATCAATGGACTACTAGATAGCTCGTAGAATGTTTGACCTAGTTGGATAATTTTGGACTAGTTGGTTTTGGGGCTGTAAATTGGAGTAATATATGTATATATTTTTGGGATGTAAATTATAATCGACGTAAATATTATATATATATATATATAGTTTTACCGAAATATTATATATTAGCGGCGCATTGGTGATTTGGGTTGGGTTGAGTTAGGCTAACCCAATTTCAACCCTCCTAATTAGCGGTTTGATGAGTTGAGTTTAATTGAATTGTTAGCGAGTTGGGTTGGACGAGTTTCATGAGTTGACGGTTTTTTGTACATCCCTAGCATTAATGAACAAACTGTTTGATATTGCATCCAACAGAATATCTAAGCGACTATAAATACGACCTACAAGTTGCTTACAAATTCGCTTTATTGAAGGTGGGTTTTGTGTGAGGCTGATTGGGATTGTCGATATTCAATTATTACCCAAATACATTCATGTGTCAATATAATTCATACAAATTTATCCAACGAGACATATTGTGTACAAAATTTGGTCACATAACTAAATGAACGGTTTAATGAAAAGAATTTAATATATTATTTAAGTTTTAATTTAAGAGTAAATTGCATCAATATCTAAGGGATCGTTTACCTAAACACTTACCCAGTAAGCACTTATCGGTGAAATTTAACACTATCGCTTATTTACCGATTACGATTGCATTCACTAAAACGATTGTATGCAACAATTTATCCCGGGAAGCGCTAACCATGGTAAGAGTCCGCGTCTTCACTTATCAGGTAAGACTCTCGATTCTTGCCTTCGTTCTTACCGGGTAAGATTTTTAGTACTTGTCATATTCATCTAGTAAAGTAAAGTGACTTGGTAACCGCTTACCCGGATAAACGTTTGGTAAACAACACCTAACATAGTTTTTTGAGTTTCTATTTTTGAAAACCCAATTTCAAATACTTCATTTCATATAAGTGATTTTAGTTAAAAGAATTTCAAGAATATCTTGATTCATATAAAGTTATATGTAAATCATAAAAGTGGTGTTTAATTAGTTTGAGGTTGAGCTTCAAAGGTCAAAAGTGTCTGGAGGTCTGCATTCAAATCCAAGAAAGAATAAAAATCTCTTTACGACCACGAATGTTCAAATGCGGTGATCTCGTGCTACCCGCAAAGCCGGTGGTCGTCCTGAGAAAAGTTAGATGTATATTTTCTTATAACTTATAATATGTTTTATTTTGATATATTTTGTCGTTAAATCAGATGATATACGAAATAAATATACCATTAATAATTTTCTTAATAAATATATGCAATTTAAAAGGCCATACATTATTAAAATCCTATTTAAAAATGCATGTGTTGTCTCCAATTATTTAATATATTAAATAAATTCAAATTATTTAGCATGCCCTACTCCTTTATATACTACACTATTAACAAAATCATCCACGTTTTCATATAATTAGAATGATTCTCGTGCAATGTAATAAGATACATCTAGATTTTAATATTTCATTTTATTTTTTATCTCAGTCGATGTTATAATATGACCTTATATGATTTTGAAAAAACAATAATATTTTTATTTTTAAATAAAATATAAATTTGAAGATTCCTATTTTTTGTGTAATTTTTAATTCAATACTTATATTATAATTTAATTTAGGTTCAATAACGAGTAATTTATATTTAGTTTAATAATATAATTTTCTTAAAAAGATAATAATTAATTATTTTGTTAGAACTTTATAATTATCATAATTATATTTTAGATTTTTTATATTTTAAAATGAGATGTTTATCATTTATTTGATTATGTTTATCCACAGTGAGTTATACGAATTCAAACATGGAGTTTTAATAAGTTGTACTTATGCATAATTTACTTGTAATCTTAAATTTTTAGTGATTTGCAACGTGCCATATGACATATCACATGTAATATATATACGGGAGGCGATTGTTGCTCGGTAGAGTGAGTCCAACCCAAAACCACTTCCAATTTTTTAATAAAAAAGAATAAAGCATAAACTATGTATTTTTTTTAATCGTCCGAACCGTCCATTAACTTTAGCAGCCCAACCCAAGTCCGCTCATCTTCTTCGAGAATGGTTATTCAAACCTAATATTTTAACAGGTTGGGTTGGTCGGGTCTAATGAACAACTCTACTCCACACCCTCCTCAGCGGAACATCTCCTACAAACGTGCTCAAACCACCACATCCTTCTTTTTCTCACTTTATCTATGATACGCAATGGTAATCCTAACTTTGCTTGAAAGATTTTAATTTCATATCGCAATTGTTTAACAGAACTAGTTTTTTCCTATATATAAAAATACAAACATATATTATATATAAATAGAGTTGGATTTCGGTGAGAATGAAAATTATGATGAGAAACATAATAAGAGATTCCCACCCTTGAATCAATACTAATTGAATGTCAACACTAATGAGGTGCACCGAGATGTACCAGATCAATTCTGTCTTAAAGCGTAATTCATGGGTGGGTAGAAGTGATCTGGACCCTTGATCACTTTTAATTTCATCCCCACTCGTGAATTGTGCTTCTTATGGTAATTGATCCAACGCAATACATCTTGTTAGTGTTGGTCTTCAATTAAGATTGATCCAAAAGTGGAAATCACTTCTCACTGTAACATACGAAATACATTACGGGTAAAAAATGCATCCAGATAAAATCAACTTAGGGTTCTTTCTTTAACCAATTTTTTTGGAGTCTAAAAATAATAATCGAATTATTTAATTATAAGATGGTATAATTTCATAATTACTCCAAAAACATAATAGATTTCTCTCGTGGGTTGGGTTTTGTACAACAATTCTCAGAAATATTCACACATTTTAGCATACATATGATATAACTCCAACAAATAACATATATATATATAATGCATATACACACAACAACAAACGCAAAAGAAAAGAAAGCCGACACCGATAGGATCGATAGCTGAACTAAACCATGTCGAAATGCATAAGTAGCTTTACGGATTTATACTTGTCTCCCTTCTGGCTGTACAGCGGAACTGCTCGTATGCCTTTACGCAGCTCTGTAATGGGTAGGCATGTTTGCCCCCCGAAATCATCCTTTTCTGACATGTCATACTCGTGAACTTCAATACGAAGCACAGCCAGTTCAGGAACTGTTAACGGGAATTCGAATTCTTCGTTCCATGATGGGATCCAATTGTCCTCGATCGCCTTTGTTCTTTTCATTATGGAATCAGCAGGTACTCCAGCAATTCCAACCTGCATAGTAAAAAAAAAAACATAATCAGTTTGTAACCATCCACATTTTTGTTTTAGTTTGTCCTAAAATAAGTGTACCCTTTCAAAAGTAAGTGCTACTTTCCAGTTCTACCCTTAATAATGAGATGGAAAAATTCATTACCCCCTCTACTAGTGCAAAATTGTCAAGTATGTCAAATGGTTGCTTACGGTTTGTTTACACTAAGTGGCTGTTTGGTTGGTTTTTAATCAAGTCATGTATGGATAAAGCTGTCTGTGTGGATTAATCTGTTTGCATAGATTGAGAAGGTTTTCATTTGGGAGAGTTTTTCAATAAATGGAAGAAGCGTGTTTTTAAATTGGGAGGGGTAGGGTTGGAGAAAAACTTAGCTTTCTGCATAAAGCTTCCCCCTAGAAGCTTACTGAAAAAGCCATTTTTTATATATTAAGCCATTACCAAAAAGTCATGTATAGCTGACCGAATAAGCTACGACTCCCATTAAGCTGCTAACAAACAGCTTTCTGCATAAAGCTTCCCCCTAGAAACTTACTGAAAAAGCCACTTTTTATATATTAAGCCATTACCAAAAAGTCATGTATAGCTGACCGAATAAGCTGCGACTCCCATTAAACTACTAACAAACAGGCCCTAACTTAGATTATCAATTAATCGAAAAATGAGCGGAATAGGTCAACACTTACCCTTGTGTAGAAATCTGGAGGTGAATATGCATCAAAATGTGTATGTGAGAAATCATAATACCATCCTTCACCCATATAGACAGTTACCTGGGAAACATTAACAGAGATTTAATCAGTCAAATTGGAACCAAGAGATGGAACTACATGAAAAAAAATTGGTTCTATTCATTTTATGTTTCCATTATGTGAGTCCCATTTATCTGTGTTCTGTGAAATGAAGATGAGATGGGACCCACAAAATGCCATCAGAGGGAAGACCAAACAACAAAGAGGTAGTAGGGTCCTGGGGTAGGATGTAGGCAGAGATTGGAGGAATATGACGTAAAAGAATGAAAGGACTTTTACGAGGGTCAAGTTAGTTGCTTGTTTACCTTCAACGTCACTTTGACAGGTAATGTAACTCTAGGATCAAAGACTATGTCATCTGGACCATTCCTCATCAAGATATCGGGTTTCTTAACATATCCGCAACCACCATTAGCCCTGAACATTCCTTGCATCACCCATAGTGATCTTCCATAGCCCTGCCAATCAAAACTTGTTATTTGGCGCTAATGGTTCACTCTGTTATATGGATGTAATAAATCAAACAGATGGCCCCGAATAATTTGTAATCCCATTTTGTTCGTAATTAAAAGGTAATTCACATACTTTCATTTAACTATGTGTCCAGTCTTATTACATTTATTTTTGAATACCGATCCTGAAGGGGTTTGAGACATCCATATAGAAGTGTTGAGTCTGGCGACACGTCTTTAGGATTTTCAAGACTATCAAACTAAGGCTGGATTTAATGGAAATCAAGAAGCATGGAATGTCCTTTTACTTCTAAAAAGAACACAGTTGCATCATTTACAAGCACAATGACGAAGTTCTGCATTGCCTTGCAACTCAGAGGTAGAGATGATGGTTGAACAAACACAAGGAAAAACGCTAACCTGGCAGATAACTAATTTTCTTTAGATTCCTAAAGTACGAAACATAATTGAAGACTACTAACTTACAGTCCGCTTCTACTTATATACATGTATATTATATATACGTGAGTAAATTACATATATATATATATATATACATATATATACACTAGAAGAGTACTCGCACAATGCAGCGAGATACATTTTGATTTCAATGTTTCATTTTTTTTGTCTCAATCGATATTATAATATGGTTTTATGTGGTATTAATAAAGTGATAATGTTTTTGTTTTTGAATAAAATATAAATATAAAGATATATCATAAAAAAATTGAAAAAAAAAATACTAGTATTAGTACCAAACTAACTATTTAAAATTTCTCCTTTTTTGTATATTTCTTTAATTCATTTTTTTTTTTTTTGGTTTAATAATATAATTTTTTATAAAGATAATAAATAAGATTTTTGTTAGTACTCAATGATTATCCTAATTACATTTTAGATCTTTTATATTTAAAATGAGATGTTTATCCTCTATTTGATTATGTTTATCTGCAGTTAGTTACATGAATTCAAACATGAAACTTTAATAAGTTATACTTATGATGGCACAACAGGCCACTCATTTCTTTTACAATAAAATGATAGACGGAACTACCATGAAACGATTTATTAATCGATTTATTGATCACTATGGAATAGGATATACATCACATATCCTGGATGAAGTAAAGACTYTGRGTTTCCDAGAAGCTACCACCGCATCCATTTCATTAGGAATTGATGATCTTTTAACAATACCTTCTAAAAGATGGCTAGTTCGAGACGCTGAACAATAAAGTTTTATTTTGGAAAAACACCATTTAGCTTGGAAAAACACCATCTTTTAACAATACCTTCTAAAAGATGGCTAGTACACGCGGTAGAAAAATTACGCACAATTTACTTGTATCTTGAATTTTAAGTAATATGCATAAATAAACAGTACTTCGTGCATAAAAAATTGTTTTTAAGAGTTTTTGTCAAATGCTTTATAATATAGTATATATATATATATATATATATATATATATATATATATATAGAGAGAGAGAGAGAGAGAGAGTGAGAAATAGAGGGAGGTTCAGGGGAAACCCCCCAAAAAATGAAAAACTGAGGAACATCCTGGTTACCATTGAAACAACAACAGGAGGGCCATGTAGCTGTTATAATTTGTGGGAAAAAGGTGTCGCGAAGACAAGGTTCAAAATGGCGTGAGGCGTGGCGTGGCGCGAGGTCAAGTCTCAAGCTTTACACGCAACGGCGAGTACGCGGCGTTTTTCAAGGCATGACATAAGACGGCAAATTTATATGTCATATATAGAATTATATATTTACATATATGTTTTCCATATATTATCTAATCAGATAATGATATTAAAAATTGTACATTCATAATAGAAAAGGAAAATTATATAGACTATTATTATAAAAATATTTTTTGATTAAATATTTAAAATGGAACTTATAAAAATAATTTTACAACTTCGTTTTAGTCGTGAGTCCATAATGTTTATGAATTTGTGAAACTGTGAGTGGTGTGATTAGATAAATCTATAAGAGTGTAAATCTAAAGTTAAAGTGTAAAAAACAAAATTTAAAAAACTAAAAAAAATATTTCTTGAAAAACAATCACTGCTTACAAAAAACGAGCGTTGCGGCTCATGCCACGCCTTACAGAACTATGGGCTATTTCGTAATGGCGGAGACGCGCCATGACGACCCTTTTTGAACACCGGGAAAAGAAGTAGAAAATGACCGATGATTGACTGAAGAACATGAGGAAGAATTCCTATGGGTACAAGAATTTTTCTTGCCTGGGGATTTTTTGAGTTGAAATTATAACTAGAGACCTTACTAAGTACTAACAATCTACTTCAGCCTTTAATGTATATATACAGTAAACACAGAAGAGGGTTATGTAGCTGTTGTAGTTCACAAAAAGTACAAGAAAAACTAAAAAAGTGACATGATGATTGAAGAAAACAAGGAAAAATTCCAACCGGTACATAAATTTTATTTTCTTTTAATAGCTTAAGTTCAGTTCATATGTAAAAATCAAGAAATAAGAATCTACTTCTACTTTTATGAACATCTAATGTAACAGGACAATGCTAGGGCTATGTAACCGTGATTGCAGAATAAGTAGATCAAAGAGGTACAAAATGGACCAAGCATAAGCAAACAAAGGAATAACAAAATCTTAGATGTACGGGATGTCTAACCTGCATATTAAATGCCACCATCTGAGCTCCATGCATCCACCCAATCAGTGGGTTATAGTTAGATGAGTCGAATCGTATCCCCTTCGGATACACTCTCAGGATATTCTTTTGGGTGAACCTAAAGCAAGCCAGTTCTTAGCAGATTTTCTTTGTAAGTGAAGATACATGCATAAACAGCCCCAACATTTTGCGCTTAAGAAAGTATGTTTCAAAACAATAAGAGCATATCCCAAATAGCTGTGTTGTGATTGCACAAGGCAAAAAATTGGATCTGAATGCTGGTTGTAAAGAGAGCCTTCAAAAGTTAAGCCTATTTTCGATAGGGGATACATTTTGATTCCTAACATACCGTTAATCATACCTAAGGTGAACTAAAAGAATGAATCTTTCAGTTACTTGGTAGTCATGTAACTTATATACTAATGAAGCTAAAGACATATTATCAAATGTCTTTAGGTCCTTTCAGCACGAATACAACATATGTGTAGTTACCAAGAGAATTTCAGAGCTACATGTATATGTTCACAGAATCAACTAGATAATGTTCATTAAAATTTTAGACAATACCTGACAATCTGTGGCCCATGAGTTTTTACTGCCTTCTCAAGCTCTTGCTCACTTAAGCTCAGACGTCTCACTTTATCGGGGTCAACTTTCAGCCAATCATCTAAACCACCCTTCCCCTTTCCAGCTTGAATAGCAATCAAACTCCTATATTCAGGGGCAACAGTGTCATCTTGAAGATCTTCCTCTTCTTCTTCCAGATCATCCAAATCATCCTGCAAGAAGAGACTTACTTCAAGGAATCCACCTTGTATTCCTAATTATGAAATCGTCAGAGTAAGCAATTTACATTTTAACTACCTTAGATTCAGCAACACTCCTGGATTTAAAGCTGGGAATTTCGCCACCCCAAGCTTCCGCAGATGAATCATTCTCTCTCTGTGAAGCATTTCCCTTTGGATTGGCTTCTTTTGATTTAAGGTATTCTTTGGGAGGCTTAGTAGATATGATGATCCTTCTTTTCAGAGATTCTGGTGACGGGAATTCCCCTAAACTTTCTGCGTCAGGAGCAAACAGCATTTCTCCAAATGTTTCAGTAACCATCTACAATTTAGTCAAAGAGGAAATAACAATGAAATCAAAAGCACACTTAAGACCAGAAATATTTGGTTTTAGGAGGGGAAATTCAAGTCCTTAATAGATCATAAATAAGAAACTAAAACAAAGTTACTCACCTTAGCCACTTTAGCCTGGAGATCTGTAGTAAGGTGGTCCTCTAGAGTAATTACGACAGGGTAGTCAGATGCAGAGAAGGCATGATTCTTGATGGATTTTAAGCACTTAATCAGATCAACTGGAGTAGTCAATGTCCTACAGAGCATAACCAAGAATGATGACAATGGCCCATATGCCAAACAAATTTTGCACAATGTAACAACATAATTCCTTCTATGATAGGAAAGCTAGTAAGCAACGACTCCACATCTCCCCGCCCCCTCCTTTTCATGGAAGTTTTAAATATTTGAACTCCAGTCAAGCACACCACTTATTCAATTGCAGAAACTACGAGACAAATAATATGCACCTTCTCAAATGCACTAAATGACAGAAGGGAGGCATAAAAAGAAACAAACATGACTTAATAATTTTGAGGACCAATTCATATCCAAGTTTTAGCTAGCCACAAATTTATGCAAACTATCAATGTAACCCAAATGTTGTTGGTGATTTTAGTGCCACCAAACAATTTTGATGTACTTGTAAACTACAAGAGATCGACTAGGTGAAAAAGGCTTACATAAAGTGAATTAGGAAGTGCGGAGTGCACACTCGCAAATGTTGCCTCTATTACCTTAGATCGCTAGAAGGCGGGACTCAAGGGAGCAGCGCCCCTGGTGGTGGTTAAGAAATTTACTAAGGAAATTTGAGTTTCTGAACATTCTGAATAAAATTTAGAAGGTTGGAATCCTTCTTGAGTTTGGTCAGAAACTTATTAATTTGGAGACTAAGTATGGAATCAGAAGCTTCTGAGTTGAATCAGAAGCCTTCGAGTCTGCAGCATCAGAAGCTTCTGAGTGTGAAGGCTTCTGACTCGGAGCTTCTGAGTCAGCCTATGATCAGTATCAACCTTATCCATAAGCAGTTGTAACTGTTGTGCATCTAGCAGCATGTAATTATCGATCACTCATTTAAATATGTAAAATGTGGAATCCGGGTGTACAAAAAGGAACTCGAGTTTACAGCCTTTAAAATTAGAGTGATCATTGGATTATCACGATGCTCAATTCACGATGCCCAAGGCATATAGGTTGAATTAGTGTATTTGGAAAGCGAACTATACACGATCCAACTGATTTGTCTGTTCGATTTTGATCAAGGAACCCTCGGTTTCCAACAAATGCATTAAGATATAGAAATCCAGTTGTAACTCAGCAAATTTGTTGTTTTCTTTCGTTTATTTCTAACGACAGTGAAAAGGTATATGCTTATCCCACATTTTGTTAATGAGCAACAACATACAGACACCATACCTTCCATGAAGGACATGCACGTCATCCTTGGTCGGGTTAGGCCATATATCCAACTCAATAACTCTCACACCTCTCTCCAGCGCTTGAATGATGGGAGTATCACTACAGTCGCTGCTCAGTTGATTCCCAGTTAGGTAGGAATTATGACCAGTGAAAATAAAATAGTGTGACAATGGAGCAGTCATATCATGATGAACCTGAAAGATCAGAAAGATTATTATCATACAGATAGAGAAACCAATTGTGCTCGGACTTGCTTATTCCAACCCCTATTCATTTTTCCAGTTACTGTTTAAAGGCAAACAAGTATGCTAATCAAGACAAATTCATCGTAATCAAATCAAGCCTATGTTTTATAATGAACCTCAAAGGATCAACAGATGTTTCATAAAGTGTTAAAGTTCGCATATTTTGGCCAACCAGGCATACCAAGTGGAGTACGACTACCACATTAACTAATATGATGAGGTAGTCAAAATGAGGATCCCTGAAGACATAAAATACCGTACTTTAACATGCAAAATATCAGAGTATAAACAAAAATGTGCTTGCATGTGTCTTTAGAGTCTACATGTAACGAACCAAACAACATTGAAGCCAGGTTATACGACACAAAGTGATAACATTACCAATTTACCATCACACTTTCGACTCGGGTCTCTTTTATAATTTAGCACAAACAATTTTGTTGGGAGCCAATCAACATACGCTAATCTGAACGAACTCACTCATGTTCTCCCAAAAAAATGCAGTGCTCTTTTCATTCATCAATTTTCTGAGTGAAGGAGATAGTTCTAATTTTAGAAAGAGGATAACGATTTTCCTGGAATTTGAGTAAAGTTGTAACAGGGCAGAATTGTAAAACATCAATTTTCTGAGTGAAGGAGATAGTTCTAATATTGGAAAGAGCCAAAGATGACAAGAAGACTAAATTTAGGACAGGCTAAATTCGGAATTGATTTGAGGGTATACTACGATTTCCTTACTAAATCACATCAAAGAAAACAAGAATTTTACCGAACGGTCAGGATCAAGGGCAGGATTAGAGTCACCAAAGAGATATTTGAAGAACGTCTCGAGATTGAAACCCTTGCGATGGAAGATATGAGCAGTACTGTGCATAATTGCTTGAGCATTCTCCAGAGTAGCTTTCTCTTGCTTCTGAACTTGAACAAGGAAGCGCTGAAGGTGATCTGCAGTCATGATGCCATTATCGGAGTACTGATCGAACAGAGACTTGATTGGTGCCGGAGCTTCCGTGGCGGCCAGCCGAAACCTCCGGCGGAAACAGAAACACACCTTGTAGGTCTGCTTGGACATTCCGATTGATTGAAGATTAAAAGATAAAATTGAGATGAAAAATGAAGATTATAAGCAAGAATTTTTGCTTGGAGAAATGGGAAGGTATGAATTGTTAAGATGATTTGGATTATTCAATCAGGTTTAACAGCAAGGCATATAGATATGGTGGGGTGGGGGCCAGCGTATGTGAACGCGGATGGAACGCGACACACGGGATCATAAATGGAACGTTGGGTCCACCAGTGCTCATTAACAAATCTCTGTTTTTTGAACATAATTATTTGCATTAATTGTCTTCGATTATAGTCTTTCCGTATTTTTAGTGAAGCTAACGAGAATAATCCAAAATTAAATTTAAAACTTTAAAAAACTAATCATAGATTATACCCTTAGCACCAACCGTAAGGGGACCAATATGCAAAAAAAAAAAATTACCTACGAGCAAGCCTGAATATTTCGATTGAGTTGTTTAATACATTCTGTCAAATCATCAGACGATTGTGGCACTAACGAACTAGATGCACCGGTCTGTTTCTTTGCAATCCTCTAAAAATAACGAGAACTTGACATCCACCATGGACATTGTAGTTCCACGTCAGTAGGTGTTAACATAGTACGTGCGAGCAAGCCCTCCTACATAATTTGTTCATTTAAGTATTTAGTTACAGTTAATAAAATTAATTATTCGAGATAAGTTGGTCAAACTCACATCCTCGATATCATCGACATGTATGTATCTAAGACTATCTTGTCACAGTAATTGTTTTTTGCATTGTCAGGCACACCCCCTAGGGATGACTCCATCGGTCCGTAAACCATAAGAAAACGAAGCATGTGGAAATGCTTCCAATATCCATGTCTACATTTTATTTATTTTATAGTTAGTAAACAATTTAATTTAAATACAACTTTGTTATTTTATGGATAGTAAACAATTAATTAAAAGTTACCTTGAATGCAAATACGAATCCAGACCATGTGCATCTACATTTGCGTTCAGACGACTCACGTTTTTGAACGTGAGTTTTTTTCACGTTTTGGTAATGCATCATTAAGTTGAGAGTATAGGGACTCCCAAAAATGATTACTCCATGGATACATGTGTCATAAAAGTATTATAGATGAGTAATACAATGTACGTAATAAAACTATAAAACAAAATAGTTTAAAAATATATCATATTTAAAAAATACATGTTCCATGCATCCAGATTTTGGTCTAACCGTAAATAGTCATCAGAGACTATATGGTTCGTTTGTTGACCGATAAATCCAATGAAAATCATAAGCAAAAGACATAGGCGTACTGCATAAATGTCTGTTATTGTTCCCAATTTTTGTTGCTAAAAAACTCAGGTAAGATCACTCCTGTGTACCAGACGATTTTCGTCAAAGTCTAAAACCCGAGATCTGAAGGACGACTATGTTATCTCTGGTAACGAAGGCTTGTTCGGGCCAAATTTCATACTAGTAACGAGACAAAATTCTTCTCGCCCGAAACGTAAAAGACGTCATCTGACATTAAAATATTATGCCTCTTTACGGTCTTGCTCAAGTGGTGGCACCTGCATTTGCACGAGCATCAGATCTTGATGTGTTGACTGAATATCGAGCCAATGACCGAAGCAAGTATTTCTAAACATTTCTAGTCGGTTTCCCGATCTCTGCAATGCCCTCAAAATTGTATTTGAAATTTCAATACTTGATTTTATGTTAACAAATACTTCATAATAATCCCCCTGATAGATATAAGATAAAAAAAAGTTACAAAAACATCATATAAAAAATACATTATAAAAACGAGATTATATTAAAATTAATACATTGTAAAAATGAGATCATATAAAAAATACATTGTAACAACGAGATTATCTTATAATTAATATCTATACTATATTATAAAGCATTTGCCTAAAACTCTTAAAAACTCTTAAACTCTTAAAACTCTTAAACCCGT